GTAGGAGGTATGTACAAGATGCTGCAGCAATCACGATCGCATCACGACGTCGTTATCAATCGAAGCTAACTTTGTATTTCCGTCTCGTTCTAGATTATATAAATCTGTAACGTAGACAGAAATATATCAACATTAATAAATTTCGCATTAGCTCTAATTTCACGACGAACTTTATTAATCCGAATTTATTCGAACGATGACTTATAACGGCCGTTCGCGCGAGTTTAGACGAATGACAGAATGGCGGAGATCGGAAGCTCGATCGTCGCGCGCGCGCGCGGTCCTCGTTCCTCGAGGCATTAATATTACTGTACAGTATTACACCGTAACGTCCGTTAGCCTGATGTGTTACCCGATTAAATAGTGGCAGCTTCGTTATTACGATTTACTTGAGCAGACTATGTAGGTGTATGTGTATTCCTTGCGAAAATCTCGCGCCCATCACGCGAGCGGCGCGTCCTTATTCGAGACACCGAGTGCAATTTGTTCAAGCGACGACGTCGCCTCGAGTTCTCTCGTTTCAGGATTTCGTAACGACGTACATCGTCTCCTTTCGGTGACTCTTACGCTTCTATCGACGAGCCTCTATTTCGTTCCTCCGGTTTTCGTTTCTCTCTTAAAGGAAAGGAATCTAACGTCCCACCCATCGCGCTGTCTTCAAAATTGCCATTCATATACTTTCAGTTCACTCTTTGCAAAATCGGAGCCCTTTTGCCGTAATTTCGTTGAGGATAAGGAGGTGGAGCTTGCGGATTCTCCTAAGACTAGGATCCGGGTGTCTGATCCTTAGTCTTTCTCTACGGTGCAGGGCTCGGGCATGGACTACTGGGGCGGACACTTCACCACCGTCGTGGTTGCAAACTCGCTGAACTTCTTGTCAATCGGCACCCGATCGTCGTAGAGGGTAGGCGCTTGCAGAATAATGCCCGCAGTGCCCACTAGAACCGCTAGAGTAAAGATCCAGAGGAACAGACGGTCCAGCACCATCGCTACGTACTTCCAATCTTCCTTTACCTGCACAGAAGCAATAATTTAATTAATTCCCTCGAATATCTTCCCTCGAATATTAACAGCCGCGAGTGAAAAGCTTCTGAAACTTTGCGCTTAATTTAAATGTCCCATGTACAATATATAAATATAAATATAAATAAATACATATGTATATATTATTAGGAAAAAAAATAATAATTTAAATAAAATTTTTATAAGAAACATATTTATTTCAATAAATTTACCTTAGTCGAGTCTTCGAGCATTTTGGTGTGCTCGGCAATGAAGCGCACGCAGATGCACGATTTGTGCACTTCCGGCGGACAACGAGAATGCGAAAAGACCGGCGGGCTTCGGAGCGCGGGACTCTTGACTTCTTCTATGCCGGCGTCTCCGGAGACCGAGAGATCTTCGCACTCGGTGTGTAATGGTAACGGTGGTAAGGGGGGGCCGTGAATCATGCAGCTGCCTCCAAACCTCGCGCCGTCCGTAAGGCTAAAGTGATTACATGATAATGAAAATATTGTTAGATATGTTTCTTGTTCCTTCTAATATCGCGAGCAGCGTTTTCATAACTGATATTGATATGAAAAAGAAAATATTTTATGATCTTATTTTGTTTAAACTCAAATTTATAATTATAACTTTATTTTATGCGAATAAAAATTTCTAAAGCAAAAAATTTGTATTTACATTTATAGTTTCTCAAAATAATGAATCATTAATGGTTTGGCGAAATAAAGTAATATAAGGATCAAAGAGCTAATTACAAAGCATTCCGTATTGTTATAAATACCTGGAAGGCGACAGGTCTTCTTTTGATGGAGGACGGCTGTGGAATCTTTTGGGTGTAAGATGTTCTTCACTGTCTTCCTGAGTCGACGGATGATAAGGATAATAACAAGTCTTCTCCTTTCCTCTGACGGTCCTCATTAACACTCTGCCGGAAGTGTACCTGCAAACATAGACAATCGGGCGCAGAATTTTAATGCGGATGCCACGTTCTGGAAAGAGCAGCGGATGACTGGCTGGTGATTATTGTCAAGACCGGCATTCAACGTAAAGTCATTTCAAGTATGTGCAACATTATTGTTACGACGCAATCTTCGCGTAACGAAATCCCTGATTGCAATTTTTATTGCTAGTGCTTCGCAAAGAGACACGGTTCTCTTAAAAATTTTTTTATTTTTTATCTAAGAATTTCTTTCTCTATAAAATTGGAATGATTTTGATTTTCTTTTAATAAAAACTTATTTTTTAAATATTTTTCCTAATTTTTAGTATTAAATAAATCGATAAACAAGTTTAAGATAAAAATTTCTTTAATAATTGAAATGAAAATAAATAAAATTTAGTTTGTCATTATGTTATAATTCAAGTAATAAAATACAAATAAATAATAAATTTTTTGAATAATATCCATATCTTTATAATTATATTCAACACCAACCTGCTAGTTTCAAATTTATACTGAGGTCTCCTCATGACTAGAAGTCGCGGAAGAATATGTATAAAAACTCTCTTCACCCAAGGTGCCATTTTGTGCGTCTGTGGTGAACGGAAGTGAACATTGAGAACGACCACGGTAACACATATACTGAAAAATGAAAAAAAAGAAAGAGTTAGTTTAATCATATATTATAAAAAAGATATATAATAGTATTATATAGATATATTTTTTTATTGTCACTAGATATCTTTATTTTTTAAAACAATAATAGGAAATTTAAATACTACACACTATTTGCTGATGATCATAATATAGTAATAAATTTTGTTGCGCGCGATAATGTAAATATTAGTTTAAAAATGCTGAGCCAGCTATTTGCATTAAATGTGAGATTATACTAGATTTAAAACTAATAAATTTTATATTCGTTTCGCAAGTGTAATTAGAAACTGACTGTAAAATTATTGGCTATGACACTTAACGGGAGGGAAGCTCTAATTAAATTTTTAATAAACATCGCTTCATTACAGGAGAGATTTTAATCCACGTTAAGCCGGAGACGAGAAAGCATCCTATGCACGGCTCCGATGTACACATGGTGGAGTTGTACTACCGCAATTATAACTGCACAAGCTTTTTAAACTCGGATGTAAAGAGCTTTGTTAATTTAACAGATACTAGTTCTCGAAAAAATAACAATGTATAATATCATATTAAGAATATGGAACGAGTTTTTAGTTTTAATAGAGTTTTCAGATTTCTCTGCAGCGAATAAAATTTTTAAGAAAATTTTCAATCCAGTTATATTTTTAATTTATTAAAAAATTTTTTTTACGTACAGTGCTATGCATTCTGTTTTGTAAATCTCGATAATTTCGTGATCTTATGACACAATTCGTACTAAAATTTAATTCGTTGGAAGTTCATTTTCGGTAAACGGAGACGAATTGCCATAACATACAACCAGAACTGATCTCGAAGGCAGGATGGAATGCAAATCTCACGAGACTATTCATAACGCAGATAGGAGATCTTGGTTGGTCCGCTGGGCAAAGGACAGGCCGCGATTTAAATTGGACCCACTTCCTTTGACACGAGCTTCAAATCATTTATCGGACTACGTCGCTGCGGCGACGTAAATTCTCCATCTTCATGTCTGTTCGCTTTTTATCATTTCCGACGAGCTCGCGCGTTAGTCATTCCCGGCAAAATGTGCCATAATGTTCGCGTATTAGACGTTCTCGAAGCCATCTTCACTTTAAGTGTGTAATCTCGAACGACGGAACGTGAGAAGAAAGGCAGTTCCGATAAAACTCTCACTGCTATTAATTTCAAGATAAA